CAATTGCAGAATATTGACCCTCATGACTTGTTTGTGGTTTAGAGTTACAAATAAGCTTTGCATTGATTTGTGGGTTTTTAGGATGGCATAATATTCAGCTGAGATGGAACTGTTTGAAATTCCAGTGTTCAAATCAAAATTTTGGGAAATTCACCTTTTAATGTTGTTCAAGTTAAGTTCTCTGTCATGCATATCACTAATCAAAAATTTATCTTAGGTTTAATTATCAAAGGAGATTAATAAAATGCTTTCCTTGAACATGGTTTCTAATTAATATTCTAATGATGTTTGTAGGAATTCCTACAAATACCTGTACTTAAGACTAAAACATGCCATTTTGTCTAGTTCTGAACTATTGCTGTTGCTCAAGCTAAATTAGTAATTCAGACAATCAGTTGCTGCTTTTTTAAATACTGTACAGCAGAACTAGTGTAACCTTCCTGAGGAGAATGATTTTAAGTGAGAAAAAAGTAAAACAGAGACAATCATTTGATTTTGTAGATCTTTCAAAAATATGTTGGTGTTACGGAAATGTGTATTTATCCTATTGGTAAACACCATAACATTTGGAATTTAAGAAATGTCCCTTGGAACTATTCTGAGATCCTTTTAATATAACATTTAAAGGTGTAGTTAATCCAAAAATGAAAATGTATTTGCTAAACTCTGTTGAACACAAAAGAAGATATCTTGAAGAATGTTGGAAACCTGACTTACCAGTTTCTAAAATGTTTCAAAATATTCTCTTTTGTGTTCTTAAGCAAAATTAAACATGGGTTTGGAACCAGGAATGGTGATGAGTGTGTTTTCATTTTTGGATAAACTATCCCTTTAATATTGGTAACTATTCATTGTCATTTATGACTTTTATTTATATATTTTTTTGGTCTGAAAAACATCATTTATACAACATTTAAACAACACGGTTAATAAATGATTTCTTAAAGGGGTGGTTCCTTCAAAATATAAACATTCTGTCATTATTTACTTAACCTTGACTTATTTCAAATTGTTAACCATTAATTAGCATGTTTTTTGTTTATATATATATATATATATATATATATATATATATATATATATATATATATATATATATATATATATATATATATATATATATATATATGTGTGTAAATGGTTATTTGTTTTCAACATTTTTCAAAACATCTTCTTTTGTGTTCAACATAACAAGAAAGAACAATCAAGACATTATTTTTGGGTGAAGGATTGTTTTAAAGCATTATCTTTCTTTTTCATTCTCATTATCTATCATCCTTGATTTGTCCTTGTTATTTATAGAAGCCAACAAGCGTTGGGCTTTAAAGTTCCAGAATGTGTCTGATGTAAGGGGGGTCTGAATGTGTGCTCTGAATGCAATGTGTGTAACTCAATACTGATCCGTGTGCAATTTAGATTTTGGACACTGTCAGCTGCACAGAACAGATGCTTTCCTTTTAGCTCAACTAAATCTGAACAACAACCTTGGGGTTTGGAAGAGTTATAGAGGTGCATTTAGCTGTTATTTATGTTGCAGATGCTGATTTAGATGCGCTGGTGGGGTCAGTGATTATTGGCTATTAGCACCGGCTGCTCTTTTGTCCACCCACAAGCCAGATCTGAGCCGTATCTCAGTGTCCAGCCATACATACACAAACAAACACAAAGAGCTTTCCGTGTGGGCACAAACACATTCAATGCATTAATTCACTTAGATGGAATGAATAACACCCACACACAGCCATGTCCACCCATGTCTTTTAGGAGCCAACAAATGAGTGAATCACACCCCAAGGGACGATCAAAACACTGTGGTAAAATCAAACCCTCAAGTGACACATCATTTAAATCCCAAAAGATGAGGGTGGATGTTCACACTGTTGTTTAATGGGCAGGTGAGATGAAAAAATAAAGTAGTATACATGTATTTTCATAGATGTATACCACTATCTGACAAAGGTCCTGTTGTCGATCTCAGTTGTTAGATCAACAAATAATAACTTGACTTATAGTAGATCATTTGGAAAAGTGGGAGAAGGCAGATTTTTCCGATAAATCATCTGTTGAACTGCATCCTAACCATCACAGATACTGCAGAAGACTTTTTGGAACCCACATGGATCCAAGATTCTTACAGAAATCAGTCAAGTTTGGGGAAGAAAGGTTTGGGGTTACATTCTGTATGGGGCCGTTTGAGAGATCTGCAGAGTAGATGGCAACATCAACAGCCTGAGGTGTCTGGACTTTTGTGCTGCCCATTACATTATAAACCCCAGAAGAAGGCAAATCTTCAGCAGGATAGCGCTCCTTCTCATACTTCAGCCTCCACATTAAAGTTCCTTAAAGCAAAAAAGGTCAAGATTCTCCAGGATTGGCCAGGCCACTCACCAGACATGAACATTATTAAGCGTGTCTGGGGTAAGATGAAGGAGGAGGCATTAAAGATGAATCCAAAGAATCTTGATGAACCCTGGGAGTCCTGTAAGAACTCTTTCTTTGCCATTCCAGATGACTTTATTAAAAAGTCATTTGAGTCATTGCAGAAATGTATGGATGCAGTCGTGTAGCAAAGTTTTAGATATCAATATGTGGCCTGTGACAAAATCATAAGGTTAAACTTTTATGTTGCATATGTATATTTTTAAGGCAATAACCAAAAATACATGATATTAAAATGATTGATTTTTTTCTTGAATACCATTTGGATATTAAGTAAAGATTATGTTTCATGAAGATATTTTGTAATACACAAAATAATAATATGATATCCTAAGTACTTAATTTGGACAACTTTAAAAGGTGATTTTCTCCATATATTTTTTTTTAAATCTCAGATTACACATTTTCAAATAGTTGTTCCTCCCAATATTGTCCAATCCTACACGCTCAGAAATAAAGCTATGTGAGCTGTCACTGGGGTGGTTCCTTTTCGAAAGATACAAATTTGTACCATAAAGGTCCATATTAATCCCTCAAGGGTACATAGTACTTAAAGTGTTCCTCTTAAAATTTTCAGGTATAATGAAAATTACTTTTAAGGTACCAGTATGGACCCTTTAAGTACAAATGTGTACCTTTAGAAAAGGTACCACCCGAGTGACAGCTCTTGTACCTTTATTTCAGAGAGTGTAACACACATCAGGGAAAAGTAAGTTTATTTATTCAGTTTTCAGATAATTTACCCTATGACTTTGTTGTGGTCCAGAGTTACAAATAAGCTATCCCTCGATGTGTGGTTTATTAGGAAAGAACAATATTCAGCCGAGATGGAACTATTTAAAACCTGGATTTGAAGGTTCAAAAAATCAACATTTTGGGACAATCACCTTTTCAGATTGACCAAATGAAGTTATTAGCAATTCATATCACTAATCAAAAATTACTCTTTGGTATATAATAATGGATGAAATTAATAAAATGATTTAATTAAACATGGGTTTTAATGATTATACTATTTTTTTTTGACATAAAAGAAAAGAAAATCTCAAATCTCGAAAAAAAAATCAAATTTGATCTATAGACTATTCCTACAAATATACCCATGACTGGTATTGTGATTGAGTAAAAACATGAATTATTGTCTAGTTCTAAACTATTGCTGTTGCTCAGGCTAAATTATAGTTCCAGTTGGGGTTTTTTAATGCTGTCCAGCAGAACCTGAGGAGGAGGATTTTTAAGTAGAAAGAAAAGTAAAACAGAGACAATCATTCAAAAATATGTTTGTGGTGTTAGACAAATGTATTAGGTTATGTTTTTGTATGCTTCACAGTACGTTAATTGCATTACAAAGTAATAGTCATTTTTCTTCCTTCAGGCTCATTCTTGTAAGAGATTAGTCTGACATGCTCATTACTGCAAGACGTCTTCAGAGACCATGAGTCTTGAGGTCTTAAATGTGGATAAGTGGATAGATTTTATTTTACAAGTAATTTTATTTTCAGTTATGCATGTTATATGGTTATTTGTACTCTTTCTTCTGAAATGTTTTAATTGTTTATTGTTCCTTAAAACACACACACACACACACACACACACACACACACACACATATATATATATATATATATATATATATATATATATATATATATATATATATATATATATATATATATATATATATATATATATGGACCCTTTAACTGATTTTAAATCATTATTTTTAAATGGGAAAACAGTCTATATAAGTAGTGCATCTTATACTAAGCATTCTTTTTAGACTACAAACCTCAAACGGAGATATTTTGTTCATATTGAAATTGTGTTTTTATTTCAGATAATTCATCCAAATTGTAAATTTGCTGTTAATTTACACCCCCTCATGCCTTTCAAAATGTAGGGTTCCTGCAGAGGCTAAACATTATCCCTTCACGGGAGCCACAAGTTTGAAAACTGTTTTGCTTGTTATTTGTTTGACTCTCAGAGTCATCTATTACCATTTTCCAAACCATTAAGGACCACAGCTTCTGCTAAAAACCTTCTTTGATGTCCGTTAAATGCAAAAGAAAAAAACACCCAAATCTTGGAAAGCCTGAGGGGGAGTAAACGAAAGGAATAGTTCATCAAACAATGAAAAATCTGTCATCATTTACTCTTCATTTGTTCACATTTTTTGTTCCGTTAAGCAAAAAAAAAAAAAAGAAGACATTTTAAGGAATGTTTGAAACTATTCACACACATTGTAAAACTATGTGACTAACTAAGTGAATGGTTACAGATTTCCAACATTCTTAAAAATAACTTCTTTTGTATTCAACAGATAACAAATCATCAAACTGGTTTGGTAAAGGTGAAGGGTGAGTAAATGATCACAGATTTAAATTTTTGGATAAACTATTCCTTTAACAGCTAATTACATTTTTAGCTGAGTTATGCTTCAAAATAGTAGATTGGTTGTTGAGCTGAGGTCAACTAAAGATAGATAGATAGATAGATAGATAGATAGATAGATAGATAGATAGATAGATAGATAGATAGATAGATAGATAGATAGATAGATAGATGGATGGATGGATGGATGGATGGATGGATGGATGGATGGATGGATGGATGGATGGATGGATGGATGGATGGATGGATGGATGGATGGATGGATGGACAAGCACGCGTTTACATAGACCTATTATTGATTTCGGTTTCTAAGCATCAAAGTAAACTGTTCGTAATTATAAGTAAATCCCTCTAGTTGTTGCATTTTTGGGCACGTTGGTTTTTGGACACCGTGGCTGTCTCACCGAGTAAAGGGATGAAGGAGTCACTCTGAGAGGCGCTCACAGCTGCACTGTCCCACATCGAGCTGCTGTCAACTGAAGCCGCTCTTCTCTCAGCCTCCGGACACTCCTGCGCCTCCTCCCTCGCGCGTAACGCCATGAGCTCAATCTCGTGCTTGGCTGCGGTCTCGAGCACGCGCTGTTTACTGTACACGATGACGAAGTTGTTGATAATCGGGTGGATCGGCAACGCGATGGCTATCACGCCACACAAGAAACTGACCGCTGCGTTACATCTGCCCAGCGTGGTTTTAGGATAGATGTCTCCATATCCCACAGTAGTCATAGTAATAATGGCCCACCAGAAGGACTGCGGGATGCTGGTGAACATGGTCTCTGGGTGGCTCTGCTCCATCGTGTAACCCAGCGCGGAGAACAGAAAAATCCCCACACTCATATACATGAGCAGCAGACCCAGCTCTTTCAGGCTGCTTTTGAGCGCGAACGTTAACGTTTGTAGACCTGACGAGTGGCGCGCGAGTTTGAAGATGCGCGCGATACGCATGATGCGCAGAGCCTGCACCGCCTGTTGCACATTGGCGAGCTCCATCATAGCAGTGCCCAAATGCGTAAGAATCAGCACTACATAAAAAGGCATGATGGCGAGGAAGTCGATTATGTTCAGGAAGGAAAACACAAAGTGCAATTTGCTTGAAGAGGACGCGAGGCGCAAAACGTATTCCACTGTGAACCAGATGATGCAGGCCGTCTCGATGGCCTCGAGGGTCGGGTGCTCCGTGAGGTGACCCTCATCATCTTGCACCTGCAGCTCCGGAATGGTGCCAACGCACATGACCACAGAGGACAGCAGGATGAACACGAACGACACCACCGCGATCACGCGCGCTGCGACAGAGGACTCCGGTTTCTCCATGAGCTTCCACAGGAAGGTCTGGCACCTCTGGCTTCTGCTGACCCTCGCATCATCATCATCATCATCATCCTCCAGGTCATCCAGGATGGTCTTGACTTTCTCTGCTATTTCCGCCAGCTCGGTTTCCACCTCATTTAAACTACATCTGCAGCATTCATCCAGATAGTCCTCGTCGATTCCCCAGTAGTCCATCTCTTTCATGAAGCACATGGGACAGATTCCTCGTTTCATGTGAATCTCTCCGTAGTAGTACAGCTCTAGGATGCATTTAAATGCCTTTGGGTCTCTGTCGAAGTAAAACTCCCGTTTTAAGTCGTCGTAGTCATCGCAGAGCCCGGAGAGATCTTCTGCGGAATCAGAGACTCGGTTCAGCAGCTCCGCCAAACGCGTCTCGGGATATCGGTTCAGCACGTCCCCGTAGAGAGTGTGCTTGACACCTCCGATATTCACAGAAATCTCCGTCTCCTCGCTCGCTTCTGAGCCGTTACAATCCGCGTAACGAGTCCTCGGGAACTCCCACATGTCATCTGATAGCTGCAATTCAGAGTTTCACAAAAAAGCAAAAGAACAGCTTTCATATTGAGGATCATAACTCGGTTGTAAAAAGTCTATGAATAGTAGTTTAATATTGAGGGAAATTGGTTTAGACATTCACTAGGTGAATTTCAGAGAATCAGTTTTACATAGGTTATTTAATAACCAGGCCCCTAGCCAGAAAGGGGTAACTTTCTCAATAAGTGGAGCTTTTTACAGTTATTCTGCTCAATTTCTATTCAAGTATAATGATCAAATACTACAGTTTAGTGACATCTTTAGCACTAATCTTTGCTGCATTAAAACTTGTCATAATATTTGACCACAAAGTGTTTATTTAAAAATGTGCATTTAGGCTGCAAGTTATTACAATTTTATGAATAATGGTTTGAGAGTAGAATATTGAAATAAAAATGTAAAATAAAGTAGTAAGAATAAATTATGAACTGGCCAGCTCATTTCCTCAGTCAGAATGTGTAATTTTGAATTATTATTATACCTTTTTATTTTAATAACTACAGGCAATTACAACATAAAAATACAAACAGATAGAAGTATAGTACATACAATACAAATATTACTTTTTTGCAACAACGTGGCAAATTTAAAGAAATATGGCAGTTTTTAAGAAATATAATAAAGCAGAAGAAAGACAATGAGAAAAAAATAAGAAACAATAAATAAATAAGAAAGGGCACATACAAATTATACAAATTAATGCAGAATATTAAATAAAGCACATGTTTTCTAAGTTTTCATTGTTTTCTTGTTGTGAGACTCTGTGATGTTTTTTAAGTACAGATCTAATTCTCGTTTAAAAAACAAAATTTTGCTTACATTGACTATATTTACATTTAAGTACAAAAAAAACTTCCAATAAATAAAATGAGGTTTATACAAAAAGTTAAATTAAGAGATTGTTTTTCTTCAATATTAAACCCAAATTAATCTGTCAATAGCTTAAAGAAAAATCCCCACAAACCTTTTGGACAATTAGAATTAAAATTTTTATTTGTCTTAAAGCCTTCCTTTATCGGTTATTTTCACAATTCATGATGGCATACTGTCAGAAATGGGACCAATAGGGGCCCTATTAGCCTAATAGCTCATAGAGGGGCCAATTTCTGGACTTTGTCAGAGGGGGTGGGTCTTTCGAAGCAACCGTATCCCCCTGGCTACTTGCCCCATTTGACATTTGAAAAATAGCCTAAGCCTTTATTTTCTACCTTGAAAACGAGCCTTATTATATGACATGCTATTATAATTGTTTAATTTAAAATAAATAAATAATTTGTATTTTAATTGTAAACGTACTGTTATGACTAAATTAAGGATAAAAACTAATGTTAAACTATAGAATGAAATAGGTTAATCTTTAATCTGAAATGTCAGAAATGAATATATGAACATTATATTTCATGCAGAGCGTCAGATATGATCAAACTTACTTGTATTTAGAGAACTGTAAAGAAAGTCTCGGACTTCTTGACTTCAGCTGCAGGATGTCCGTGTTGAGAGCAGAATAAATCCGAAAGCGTGCAAAATGTATGCTTCCCTTAATGATTCCATATTTATGTTAATTTATCTTACTTAATTTAAATCGCAACGTCTTGTTGTTGCGTTAATAAAAATAGCGCTAAAGATTATTATTGAAGCAAAGTACCATTTTAGCTGAGATAAAACCTGCTTATATTTGGGTCAAACTGTACAGAAAGTCTAAAAAGCTTCAGTTGCATGATGTCCGATTGAGAGAAGAATAAACCCGACAGTAAAAGAGGAGCAGAAATAAGGAGAGAGAGAGAGAGAGAGAGAGAGAGAGAGAGAGAGAGAGAGAGAGTGTGTGTGTGTGCCGGAACGGGCGTGATGATGGGAGGGGGACAACTCATAATTTATGTTTGCAGATTGAAGGACCAGGAACAGGCTGCAACTCACAGAGTCGTAAAACCTAAACTCTTGAAGAGATTAAATTGATAGGGGCACATTTTAAAAAAATGGACCTTCGATTTTATGGCACTTACACATTGTTCAACTTTTTATGCTCGTACTTTTTATATTATTTCAAGGGTAATGTTTCCAGTGAAAAATATATTTATTTGGTCAAACACTGCTAATATGAATAAAGTAGAAATAGCCGTCACACAAGGATTGGTGATGCAGACAGCACCTCAAAGAACTTATTTGCCCCTGACGCCAATTAATGTTGAAATGTCTCCCTCTAGAGATGAATAGTGGACAGCAAGATGTGGCACCTGATTAAACCGAAATTATTAGATAGAACTGGGACAAGAAGACTTTCGTTAGCAACTAACTCTTGCTTTCTTTTTTAATCTGCATTACCCCATAGGAAAAGACGACTGAAAAGTATAGTCTTTAAACAGCACCTTGGACTGATCACTTAAAATAAAATGAATAAAACAATTAAAAAATAATGATATCAAACACTTTTAATCATTTAACAGTCTTTATCTTAGAACGATTTCAACAAGCTCAAAAAGAAAACAAACAGTCTGATGAGAGTGCCTTGCTTTTCAAAATTTTATATAACTATTTCCAAATTTTTATGTGTTAAAAAACTTTAAAGTTATCGTTCACACAAAATGTCCACTTTCAGTTACTGGAGTTTCTTTCTTCTGTTGTATACAAAAAGATGTGGAAAACTGGTAACCATTGTCTAACATAGTATTCTTTTCCTAGTATGTACAGTGCGCAGCACATACGAGCACACTCCCCCATATTCTATAGGATGCTTTACAATATTATATTTGTGCATATACATTAGTTTAATCAGTACTGAAGCCAAATCTGGAGCTTGTCTAACAAAATAACTAACAATAATGGTTCAAAAATGATTAGCCCAAATTTATATTCTAGGGAAAAATATTAAACAAAAATGTAAAAAAAATACCAAAAATCAAGAGAAGCAAACAAAAAAAAATTGTTGAAATGCAATTTTTTTTTTTTTGCAATATTTAGCATGATTAAAATGGTATTATCTTTCCATTTTGAAGCATGTTCTGTGACTATAATATTATTTTAATAAATATATCTATTTAATATATATATATATATTTTGTTCAAATAGACAAAAATAATACCTAATAAAATAATATTCACTGAGAAATGGAGAAAAATATTCATTTTCAAAATGGGGTGTAGTCATTTAAGCTGAGCACTGTATGTCAGTAGGAACAGACCAGCATTTTTCAAAATATTTTCTTTTGTTTTTAACAGAAAGAAGAAATTAACAAAGATTTGAAACAACTTCAATGTGAGTAAATGGTGAGTAATTAAAAAAAATTTCATTCAATTAATTATTTGAAATGATTTTTTGCTCTAAAGGCTTACTCTCTGAAATATATCATGCACATGCAGGACTTCAGTTTTTATATTCAGATTTCTCCCTCTAGAGTGCAAGCTTGGAAAAGTTAAAAAGTGGAAACCCCAGTACAAGCCTAACTGCAGTGTTGAGAATACAATTTCACTCAGATGGATTACAGCTCCGTCTTTATGCTGATTACTATATAAAGCAATTTTCAAAGTGTGAGATATTAAAGAGCTTCTGTGCTCATGTCTGTTTTTAATTCAATGTAATTTCTGAATGATTTCAATTATAGTTTAAAGAATAGCAAAAGTGATTGTGCATGCTTTTATTTTTGAAGAAATGTCCCCATCTAGTTGTGAAAAGTGAAATCTGTAGTGCTGAGAATTTTCACTTGATAAAAAGGCTATATATGCACCTAACATGCTTTTAAATGAATATTTTCTGATTCTCTTGTTGAAGCTGGTTTGTTTTTTCATTATAATTACCTTAAGCTTCACATTTTTAATCGTCCAAAAAAATGTACCCTACATTTTACTTAATCTATATTTCTAGAGTACATCACATGGGAACCGTTTAGTGGTCTGTAACTCCAGCTCAGGATTCACTGGGCCTGTCAAGAGAAATCAGGTTGGTTTAATTAAAAATGAATTAAACTGAACAGCCAAACTGAACCTTAACATAACGTAATGCATTCAGTCATTCACCTTGGAGGTCGTGTAAAGATGCAGCAGCTGTCTAAGCTCAGAATTCTGCTGTTGTATGTTCTGTGTTTCCATCAGAAGCTCGGTCCTTTCAGTCAGTACAGCACTGAGGAGAAAGCATCATTGAGAAACAGTTTACCTTATTTTCTATTGATTAAGTCCAACTCAGTTGACTTACTGGTATTTGTTGAGAGCTGTATCTAGAGCGTCCCATAGCTTGAGTTTGGACTCAGGCATGACATTAGCAATGCTTTCCCAATACGCTGCATCCTCAGAATCATCTCTCATATCCAACCCCAAAATACTGCTTTTATGCGAAGCGTGAACATCTCTGGACACAAAATAACATGATATATATTTTAGGGAATATGCATGAGAGTTGAAATATCGAAGTTTGAACTTGCAGTTGCACTGACTGTCTGCAGAACTGGGCTGTAAAATCTTTGAGAGCCGCCAGCAGGTCTTCAGTGTGGATGAGGTTAGACAGCTCTTCTGCTGACTCTCCCTGCCCATTGGCTGTCTCATCCTAAACAAAGACAAAGGAGAAATGTTCATTCATTTCCTGTGGCTCTGTGAGAGTTCAGCTGATGGGAGAATAGATTTACCTTCGTATATTTACTCTCATGTTGTCTGTAGTTCATGAAGAACTCTGCCATTTTATACACATCCTTCTCACTCTCAATTCCGATTGCCTGTATGCATTAAAAGAAGAAATCAACGTGGATTTTGATAATGCTGGTTATGATTATGTAAAAATATAACAACACTCATTGGCCAGTGTATTAAGTACACCATTCTTGAACCCACTTTTGCCTTAATGACATTGATCCAGTAAAAAGCTGGAAATGTTCTTTCGAAATTTTAAACAATTTCTCAACCGCATCACAACGGTACTGTTTTGCAGTTTGTGTTGGCCATTTGAGTCTAGTGAACCCATTGTCATGTTTTGGAAACCAGTTTGAGATGTTTTGTGACATGGATTGTTATGCTGGAAGTAGTCATCACTTTACTGTGGTCATGAAGGGGTGTACATAAACAGCAACGATATATCAGATTTAACTAGTTTGGCCATTCTCCTGTAACTCCTGGAATCAATAAAGCATTTTCAACCACATTACTGCCTCTCAGTGAATATTTATTTATTTATTTTCAGATCATTCTGTATAAACACTACACTCAAAAAAGATATTGGCTACTTGTTCAAACTACTTATTCAAAATGAGCTGAAACAACTCACTTGAGGTTTTTCAATAACATACTTACATTTGTAAAAACAATCAAATTAACTTAGTCTAGTGGTGTTGGGACAACAAGAAAGTTTTGTGTGGAACCCAGAATTTTTTACAGTGTAGAGATTATTGTGCATGAAAATCCTAATAGATTTATTCCAGCAAATCTGGCACCAACAACCATACCACTTTTAAAGTCACTTAAAATTACCTTTCTTCTCCATTCAGTGTGAGTTTGAGCTGTCTTGACCCTGACTACATGCATACATGTTTTGAGTTAAGACTGAATGATTAGAAATGTACATTAATGATCATTGTATTGGTTTATCTAATAAAGTGCCAGATGAGTTAATACAATTCATAGTTATTGAAGATATGGTGGTGAGGTTCCCTATTGATGAGCAATATTTGCCTAATTATACTTACAGAGAAAATGGCATCTAGCTTTATGAGGGACTGTTCATTCTTCTCCAGAGGAGACAACAGCATCAGCAGTTTACTTTCAACAAGAAAACCCTGACAAAAGAGAAATGAAGAAGATATTGTATTAGTCTGTATATGAAGATGTGATGATGGATTATATTTTTATGCCATGGTGATTTATGGATTACTGTCACCAACCTTTTATTTTCAAAAACTTGATCACTTTAAAGGAAAGATTATAATCTATTTATAAAGCCTCGATAATTTAATTAAACTTTCCTGAATTTGAAGAAGTGTAGAAGTAAGTAAAATGGTTAACAATCTTCTCTATTTCAACACTGCTAGTAAGTACATTCACATGGACACCAATAATCTGATTTTAGTTCAATTAAGACAATACTCAGATTAAGAGTCGACCATGTAAAGAGATTTTTTATATTAATTTAATTCGATTAAGGTCATAATCGAACTAAACAGAAATCGAATTAAGTCAAGTGCGGTATGCCGATTTTAGTCACATTATTGAAGAGCAGTACAGACATGTAAACACCGCAATCAAACTACCGGCATGTAGGATTTTTAAAGCATTTTGCAACAGGATAGACACATAGACACTCAACCGTTAATGACTGTTCCACCAGTGTGTAGCATCCACCTAAATGACGCGAGGGCAGCCATATTCTGCTAGACCGCACGCCAGCTGATTGGTGAAGAGGAGACAGAGAGATGAAGCCAATTATGATATGGGGATGGTTAGGAGGCCATGATGGACAGAGGCCAGTGGCCAGGATGTTAGGGTTAAACCCCTACTCTTTTTAGAAGGACATCCTGGGTTTTTAAATGACCACAGAGAGTCAGGACCTTGGTTTACATCTCATCCGAAAGACAACGCTCAGTATAGAGCGGTATAGAGCCCCCTTCACTATACTGGGGCGTTAGGACCCACACAGACCACAGGTTGAGTGCCCCCTGCTGGCATAACACTACTTCCATCTGCAACCTAGCTTTCCCATGTAGTCTCCCATCCAGGTACTGACCAGGGGCCACCCTGCTTAGCTTCAGTGGATGACCATGTGAGAGTTGCTGACTAATAATTCGATAACTGATGTCCATGTAAACATAGTCAGTGTTCCATACTAGACTGCTAACTTACTACATTTTTTTATAATTGTTTTTTAGGGGTTTTCACCTTTATTGTATAGGACAGTAGAGAGTATTGACAAGATAGCATGAGTAGTAGAGAGAGGAAAAGGATCGACATAGGACTGTGAGGCAGGAATCGAACTCGGGTCGCCATGAGCACCAGAGTGCATATGTCGATGCACTAAGCACTACACCACTGGCACTGACAGTAACTTGCTACATTTTAATTGGCTTTTCACACTTATATGTTTATGGTGGGAAAATACAAGGGAATTTGTTTTAATGGTTTTCCAAAATAATTTTAAAAATGTCTTCATTTACCCTCATGTTGTTCCCAACTATCAGAAATTTGTTCACAAATTAAGATTTATTCAATTAATTGTGAGAGATTTCTGTTCCTTCGTTGAAAGTCTTTTCACCCACACAAAAATTCTAAAAAAAAAAGATTTTAAAATAAATCTATGCTAATCGAGTAGTTTAAGTCTTTAAGCTAAGACTTTATGTACTGTATGTTGAACAGTTTTAATATCTATGAAAGTAAATAAGGTCCAACAAAAAAATACAAAATGTCTCCATTTATGGTCCACAAAAGCATAAATGGAATTTGAAATGACATGATGAAATGACATGGTACGTAATACCTAATGCATAAATATAAAGCATTAAATACAGAAAGAAAAAGAGAAAGAATCCACCCTATAAACACTCACCATTTCATCACACAGCAGCTCTAATATGCTCTTCACTGTTCTTTTGTTGAGTCCAGCTGCAGTGTCCTCATCTAAACCCCCTTCTGGTTCTCCTTTCAATGTGTCTGCAGCAGCTTGTGTGGCCGTCCTGAAAGTCTTCTGCTGGACTGCTCCGGATCTCTCCATGAAGGGGAGTGGCGGAGAAGCCCACTCCAGACCCAACTGCTGTTCATGAATGACCCTGTCTGTCTCCAGTGCTCTGTGTGTCAGAGCCTTCGCCTCGTCTTCACACATCAGCCATAACTTCTCAAGCCGCTCCGCATCCAGCGCTGCAAAGTGTCTGTTCACAAAACACACAAGCACATGGTTTGTCTGAATGCGTTTCTAGGTCATGATGTGAATTACTGCACTCACCTTGCTTTCTTCTGCATGTCTTTGTACTGTTGACTGATGCGCGTATAGTCATTGCTCAGAGACTGGTTTCCTGCTTTCGACTGCTTCTCTTGTTTGGTCAATTTAGACTTCAAGTTGTTCAAAACATCTTGCATTCTGAAAATAATTTCACATCAGTTTGGCAGATATATTTAACTCAAGTTTGTGATTGACATATCCAAATATTTATACTCTACAAATTCATTTTTTAAGTCAACAAAAAATCTGTGGTAACAAATGAAACTAGTTTTATTCTTTACTTAATCCCAAAGGGAAAGTCACAGCACAGCTCTCCATACTATAAGATAAATAAATAAATATAAGATAAATAAACGTATAAAAAAAGAGAGTAATATTAATAAAATTACATTCATACTGCACACATTGGTTTCAAACAACGAGTAGACACTAGTCCATATCTACAGTATTAATGCTATTACAATTCAGCATAGTTCATCTAGTATGACTTTAACTTTTGGTTAATCTGATCACTGTTGGTAAAAATGACTTCCTGTATCGTTCCCTGTTACACCGGGGCTGAACTAATCTGAGCTAAAAGAGCTTGTTCACGCTTGGACTGTATCAAAAAGGGGATGACTATCGTGGTTCATCATACTGACAAGTCTGTTCATCATTAGATCATGTGCAATTTTTTTCTAAAGTGGGTAGTAGGGTTGTCGAGATACCATAAATTTATGTTCTTATACTATACCAGCTGAAGTATTGTGATACCATGTAGTATTGCAATACTGTAAATCATTTTTCAAATCCATGAAAAAAGGAACGTCAGAAATTCTATATTTTATTCATTATAATAGGCCTACTTGAATTTAATTAATAATTCCCTTATTATTGAAAAAAGTATTTGCACGTCACTTCACCTAAAATGTATTCTTTTTTTTTATTTAGTGGACAACTGACCAAATACATTATAATAATTCGTTACAAAAACAGCATTTTCCCAACCAAATTAGGCATTATGAAGTGGTCAAATATTGTTTCAATGTTTCCTATATCTATTGTTTTTTTTTTTGTGTGTTATCAGGTGAGATTCCAAAGTAATTCAAAATTTCACTTTGTGAGTCATTCTTTTTAAGAGATTGTCGCAGTTGTTGCAGCTACTAAATCATATTGACAAGAGCAGAAATGAACTGATTCAGATTCAAACTGAAGCATCAGAAAACGTGCAATAGGCTACCATAAGAGGTGCAAATTCTACACAGTTTTGCAACCTTAAAGGGCTCCATAGACTATTCAGATAAAATGATCTATTGTTGCACAATCGTGTGAGCATTCAGTGACTTTTCCACATGCAACATTATGTATTGTAGATAGACCGTTAATGACGAGACTACGGTTTACAAACTACAGTGGCACTGTCAGAATTTTGGAGCCATAGTATCACGATACTACCATATACCGGTAAACTGTGCAACCCTAGCGGATAGTACACCCGCCACAACAGAACCTTCCCTTTTTATAAGCTTATCTGATTTGCTTTTCTCCTTCTCCAACAGTCCCTCCTTAAATTAGCCATGACATCCATCCATCCATCCATTCATAATAAAAGCATAGTATCTTAGCATCTTAAATATTCTCTTGAATATTCACTACCGTTCAAATGTTTTAGGCCCTTAACCTTTTCAATGTTTTAATGGAATCTTTTATATATTCAGCCAAAGTTGGACTTATTTAAATGAAAATACAATAAAATATTTTTTTGTGAAATATTAATAAAGTAAGTACAGTCTTCAGTACAGGGTGCTTTTAAAATAATTCTAAAATGCTGGTTTGGTACTTTTGTAATTTATAATAAATAATACATAATTTTTTTGCGAATACAATTATCCATTTCAGATTCTGGCCTCAGATTTCTGAACGGCAGCGTGCTAAAACTAATTTGTTTAACTCCTAAAACACATACCTAATAATTTTCCTCTTCAGCTGGGATTTAATGATGGCGTTCTCTTCCTCTTTTTTCTTTAGCACCTCATATTTGTAATCAAGTTTCTCCTCGTTCATATGACAGTTGAACTTCGTCTGTTGCACTTTCATCCTTAATTTCTGCACACACAAATAAACATACATTTACCATAGTTTCATGTCAACAGTATATCCACTTATTTCCATATCAGAGATTTACCTGTACTTCTGTGTCCATTCTGATTTTGTCTATGTTGTATTCTTCAGCGGTCTGAACTCTTAGCTTCTGCAGCAAGTCTGCATACTCCTCCATTACACTTAAACTCTGCATCATATTCTTCAGCTGCAGAGAATATGCATCCAGTTTCAGTCAAAGGTATTCACATTAAATCTTAAATGTGTTTTTATGTGCAGCACCTCTTTCTCATTACGATCCTTCCTCTCATGCTCCCATTTCTTTTTGTGTTTGGTTAACAGCGTTCTTCTCTCCTCATCTAATGAGTTCTTTAATTTACACAGAAAATAGCATTCATAGTTACGCAATTTTGTATGCTGAATTAGCTAATTCCATATTAAATCTAATCTATGAGAAAAAATACTATGAAAAGTGCAGTAAAGGTTGTGTCCTCCGTCCTGCAGAGGGCAGTACTACACCTCAATCTGATGCAGGTCTTCTCGATATGACTTTTTCAGAGTTGAGATCTGTTCTTCCATCCTCTCCACAAGAAGGTCTATGTCTTTAGCCTGTCTTTTTAGGTCCTTCACATAGCGATCATCGCTTGCCTTCAGCTCCTATAAACAAAATTGGAATTCATTCATTCGTTTTCCTTCGGCTTAGTCTCTATTTCAGAGGTCACCACAGCGGAATGAACTGCCAACTATTTTGGCATATGTTTTACACAGCGGATGCTCTTGCAGCCGCAACCAAGTACTGGGAAATACCCACACGCTCTCTCATTTTAACACACACTCATACACTACGACCAATTTTGTCCATCCCATTTACCCCTAGTGCATGTCTTTGGACTGTGGGGAGAACCAGAGCACCTGGAGGAAACCCACGCGAACATGGAGAGAACATGCAAACTCCACACAGAAACGCCAACTGGCCCAGCCAGGACTCGAACCAGCGACCTGCTTGATGTAAGGCGACAGTGCTAACCACTGAGCCACCGTGTCACCCATAATCAGAATGATTTATTGATTTAAAGTTTGTATGTTTATAAGCATTTGGTGGGAATTGGTGTGTGTGTCTCTGTGTGTTTGTTTGTTTGTTTGTGTGTGTGTGTGTGTGTTCACCTGCTGGAGCTCACTGATCAGTTTATTCTTGTCTGCTATAATCTGTTCACAGAGCTGTTGCTGGCTGCTCAGAGCATCTCTCAGATCTAGTGGAGTCTGCTTCATTTTAGCATCCGTCCATTTGCGATTGATCTCCTCAAACTTCTCCTGACTGGATTTGGCCTCGTTCTCCAGCTTTTCTCTCCTAAGTGACATGTTTTTAGAGAGAGCATACTTTTAACACAGGTACAGTTTCAAATGCTTCATCATTTCAGTGATACTTCTTATAAAACTTAAAGGTGTGCTCACTCTTTAGACAATAATCAAACAGCACTATTATCAGGAGGGGAAAAAAGTCACTGTAAAAAAAATCGGTAAAATGTACAGACAAAAACAGCAGCTGTGGTCAATAGTATCTGGATGCAGCCTTTATGATGCAAGCTGAGATTGCATCACTCAGCGATGCAATGTCAGACACAATGAACTTAATAGAGCAAGTGATGTCACTGTGACGGGTAGGGTTAGGGGTGGGGTTAGGTTAGCACATTAAAAAGCATTGGATGCAGCTCAGATTGCACTGCACCAGGTCTGCATCCAGAACCCTCTCGCTGTGGTTGCCAGAACTTTTTTTTTTTTTTGTAAGTTTATTAACAGTGCTTGAACAGTAACAGAAAGGCATTAATACTTTTTAGAATTACACAAAAGGCTGAGATAACAATCAAATTGCATACATTCACAATCTTTCCATCTTCGTTAATAATACGACACATGTAAATAAAATAACAAAAGTTAACAAAAAATAAATGTTAAAGAACCTTAAGTAGCAGGAAAGTTAATGTTCTCAAAATATGAAACCAAAATCATCTAAGGATCAATATAAACATCTTGCTTTTTGGCTTCTCATCTATCTTAATGTCTTCAAATACCTCACAAATCTTCTTTAAACACCACAGTTTTAAAACATTTACATTTATGAATATAGAATTTTAATAATAACATCAAATTATTCATTATTTAAGATTTCTTTTTATCCTTAAGTATTAGACCAAACTTAATAATTTCCAATGAGAAGACAAGTCTTATAGATATTTTCGGTTGTATCCAAACTAATACTTCATCCCAAAATCTTTGTACCTCATTACATTGGAAAAACAAGTGTTCCGTAGTTTCTATAAATAAATTACAAAACTGGCATGCATTTGAGTCATCAATATTGAATTTTAACCTTAGAAATTCTTTTGCAGGATAATTGGGATTCATAATTTTAAAGTGCAGTTCTGTGGTTGCCAGAACTACAATTAAAAATGCGGTAGAAACCATTAAAGAATTCTAGATTTGACAGTAAACTACTGTATTTCATTCATTTACAGTTTTATACACCCTTGTCTTGAAGTACTAACACTACATGTCATAACTTTGTTACACAGACAAAAACACAACCACAAGCAGGTGATAATGAAAAAAAGTAAAAAAAAAATTAAAAAGATAAAAACAAAAAGTTGTGTAATGAACCAGTACTTATCACGAACAACTTTTCCCACAAGAAGAAAAGCAGAAGGTCCTCATTGTCATTCAAACAACTACTAAACTCCATCATGGTAACACACATACAATTACATTAAAGCAATAAACATTTTTATCAACATCAGATGTAACATTAAACTCTAATGTACATAAATGACAAGAAACAAAATCCTAAAATGAACCATAGTATTGTCAACAAAAAGGCATAAAAAAGTTCATTTACAGTTATTAAATGTATATATTAAGGAAAGGTACTGTTAACCAGGTTATGGATTTTAATGTAACATTTTATTTTTATTTTTTTTTTTACACTTTATGCTTGAGCATTCTGTCTAGTGTTATCATGTCTTAGTTTTGGTTTGTTTGGATATCTTTGGTCCATGTTGCTTTAATATTTTAGACAGTTAGTACCAGAGTTCATTTAGAGTTCTTTTTAGAGTTCATTTAGTTCATTTCCATTTTTTCCTTCCCATTTTTGGGAAGTTTCTTTCTAGTTTTGTTCATTTTTACATGAACCACACTAACAGAGCAGTCACACCGGGGTTTGTTTTAATCAAACCTAAACTCCCAGGAATAAGTCTGTAAATGCTGTAATCTGAACTGGACTGACACACCTTAAAAACTGGTCTCTCTATGTTTAAACTTAATAATGAATGCAACATAGGTGCAAGACATCTAAATCGAACTATAAGTGCGAACACATAGGGGCTGCATCAGTGTGTACCTCAGTCGATGTCCCTCCTCTAGCTCTGTTCTCCTGTCAGACTCTCTTGCATCTGCAGCTACTTGAATGTTGGTCACCAACTCTAGTCCATCACTTTTTAATTTGGCCATGCGCTGCACAATGACGAGAGCATAATGTCATGAAAACCAGATTTACTTCTCACGTGAATAATATTCAGTATATTATTTATTTTAAAACATTATTTGCTTATTGATTTTTCTTAATTATCATTGTTATAGGGGGTTTATAATGCCAGAGTTCCGGAGAAGAAAATATTATCATATATAGATTATTTTCATTAGGCAAAATATTTAAGAGACATTACAATATCTTGTTTTTGAAATAAGTCTCTTCTGCTTGCAAAGGCTGAATTTAATTATAATAATTTAAAAAACATAAATCCAGTAATACTTAGGTGTGATTTTATTACAATGATTGAATTTTCAACATCATTTCACAAGTTTTCTCAACTGGTACATGATCATATAGAGATAAAAAACAAATTCTGATTAGTATAATTAATATTGAAAACCAATGTGCTGCTTTAAATTCGTGAAAACCGTGAAGTATTATTATTCAAATCTACTACTAAAATTGAAGATTTGTTTTTTTTATTAAAATAACAATGCACAACATTTTAATTGCATTTTGATAAAATTTTTGAGCTTGGGTAAATTATATATTATATTATATTATATTATATTATATTATATTATATTATATTATATTATATTATATTAAGTAAATAAAAGCAATATTTTAAATGTTAAAGATCTGTTTAACTGCAGATAACAGACTCTTTCTCTGTGCTCCACTTCCTTTTGACTTTTCCGTGTTTCTTCTTTAACGTCCTCCTTTCCCAGGTCATCTTCACCAAGCCTTTGTCTGCAAAAATATAGCGTGTCATTGGACATATAAAATCTCAAAAGATCGAAGACTGACACTTTTATTTCTAACTAACGAAGCAAAACACATGAGGTAATGAACTCGGAGACTAAATGGATGTGTAACGTTAACTTACTTGGTTTGGGCTTCTTTTCTCGCTGCTAAACGGAGGCGGCGGGCTAAAATTCTTTCCTCTTTTTTGTCAGACTCAACAGATGGTCTAAGTTCTTCAGCCTCTTCTCCTGCTGCAAAAGCTTCGGTCTGGTGCATTTTTACTTACGTTAAAAAGCGCTAATCTTAGCGGAGAAAAGAAACATGAAGAGGAAAGTGTGAATGGACGAGGAATGTTTACAAAAGCGTTGCTATGATACAAGTGGCCACGTGTTATTACAGCCAAACGAGAAAAAAAGATCAGGGGGAAAGGTTGCATTATATTTATTTAAATATGATTGTAAAGCAAAATGATGAAACCCCCTGAATTATTAGCCCCCTGCTTATTTTTCTCTCAATTTCTTTTTAACGCAGAGAAGATTTTTTCAACACATTTCTAAACATAATAGTTTTAATAACTCATCTCTAATAACTTATTTATTTTATCTTTGCCATTATGACAGTAAATAATATATAAATATAGCTAAAAGGGGCTAATAATTGTTCCCTTAAATTGTTTTTATTTTTTATTAAAAGCTGCTTTTATTCGAGCCGAAATAAAACAAATAAGACTTTCTCCAGAAGATTAAATATTATCAGACATACTGTGAAAATTTCCTTGCTCTGTTAACACAATTTGGGAAATATTTAAAAAAGAAACTAATTTTAAAGGGGGTTTAATAATTCTGATTTCAACTGTACTTATATAATTGGTATATTCATATTTATTTGATAATATTATGTAATTATTAATTCAGTATACATTTTTAAATGTACATAAACAAATCTTTTACTACTAAATATTTTCATCAGAAACGAAAAAAAATAAGTTTGAGTTTTCTTGTTATATTCTATTACCTCATGTTAATTTTTTCATTTAAAAAAATAATATAAGGATTAATCTAAGTAAATAAAGAAATATTTTAGTTTTCACTTGTAACTGATCATATTGTAGACCACATAATTTGTGTTATTTAAATTTATAAATTTGTTTTAAAAACTTTAAATATCTATTACTTTGTTATCACAATGGATTGTGATATCTAAATTTTAAACAAAATAAATGTAATTTCATAATGCTTTTTTAATGTTTAAAAATTATTTTGTAAAGTATGTGTCAGGCCCGTTGCCAGAATAGGTTTGGGTGGTTCAAAAGACCCACCCTCTCCGACAAAGGTCCAGAATTTATACCATATGAGCTCATTTGTCCTATTTTGACTGCTATGCCATCATAAATATTGTAATTAACTCATCGAAGATTATTATTTGCCTAATAACTGGCAATAGGCTACTTGACCTTAATAGGCAGTTTTTTATTAAAAACTTTAACAGATTAATTTTTTTTCTAATGATATACGATGTAATATTTATATTTTAAAAATAATACATATATAAATACGTTTTTTTTTTCATGTTTCTTTATTGTGAATCTTTAGGAAATGTTTTTGGTACATGAAAAAGTATGGTTGTGATGACCACCTGACAAGCTAATCCAGAAAAAAACGTGTTAAAATGTCACTAAAATGCAGTATTTAAATACTTAACTTTATAGTTAAATATAAATGAGGTGAATAACTACAAAAGGTCTACTTTTTGAGAAAAAAAGAACCCCCCTTTCATCAGCCTGGCTGCGGGCCGGTGAGTTGATATTATATGATATGCCAAACTACATACATATTTGCCATAGAAGGAAAATGAGAACAAACAAAAATAATTGCATGGTCATAACTCAAGGAAAAAATACTACATGTCAGCGAGCTCCTGGCAGCAGCAGCTGTTTATATAGCAGAAGAAATGTTTGTGTAAGAAGCTGAAAGTGGCGATAATTTAGGAAAGCTGTCTTTGTGGCTTTTCTTTTTCTTTCACACTCTCTGATGTCTGATAACTTTTGCCATGCATGGCTGGATTGGTTTGTGTCTAGCTTTATTTATGCACCTGACTGTGCCATCAGATTAAAAGACTTTAGGCATCACATCTAATCTGTTGTGACTTCTCTGCATATAGACTAATTTTATTACTCTCCAAATGAGTCTTTTGCACATCAATAACATAAGAAGTCTGTCATAAAGAGTAGATATATGCACTGGGGGCTCTTTTTTCAGTTTTAGCATTCAATATGAGTGGATCCCACACTGTACAGGATTAGCAGTGATGTCCAGGGCTAAAGTACTACTGCTGGCATGATAATTGCATTGGTGATTACAGTGGCTTAATGTTCAGCACTTTTACCTTTAGCTTGACTGACTGTATTAGCTGAAGAGATACAGTGCTGAGTATACCCCATTTTGCAAAATGAATATTTTTATCCATTTTTCAGTGAATATAGGCAATGTATTTTAGTGCATTTAAACAAAACAGATTTATTAAACAGATATATTTATAAAAAATTATATTTTAGTCACTAAACATATTTAGAAATTGAGCTAATACAATTAAAATCAAGCAAAATATCGCAAAAAAATTTATAAAATAAAATACAACCTACAAAATTTCAACAAAATTTTTCTATTTTTTCTTCTTTGGATTTTTTCTCTTTTTGAAATTTGTATTTAATATTTTTCTGGGTGTACTAGTTTTTGGAACGTTATCGTAAGTTATTTTGTTAGATAAGCTCTAGATTTGGCTTAAGTACTTACTAATCTAATGTATATGCACAAACATAATAGCTTCCTATTAATATACATATATATATATATATATATATATATATATATATATATATATATATATATATATATATATATATTTTAAAAATAGATTTGTGAGGGGTGTACTTATATATGCTGAGTACTGTATCAATAAACTTGATACACACAGACTGAAGTTCTCTAATGCATGTGCATCCATGTATGATTTGCCTTTTTAAAGTCTAAGAAAGGGCATTACCATAAAACATAGACAGACAGCATGAATAAACATGCAGAATAGAAATATCGGAACGCCAATAAAACAATTTAGCTATTCAAATAAGCCTAAGGGTCTAGTGAAATCAAAGGCAGTTGATTCATTAACTCATACCTTACAATATTTTTGGTGTAAATTTATATGTCTTTCTAATATGACTAATGCAAACTTTATCCCTGTTGTTAGCATGTTTTTGGACTGCAAATCACGTTTTTGATCCAAGTAATTTTTTGTTTTCTATTTTTTTAAATAGTATGCCCACTGTACACCTATCTGCAGTTATTATTGCATTTAGGTGTTGGATATGTGTAGGAATTTGTGCTGACATTTTTTATTTACCGTATTGCTTAATTTAATTTAGATATATTGGTCCTGCTTTATTTTGATGGTCCGTTTGTTGAATTAAGTAACATTGCATCTACATGCCAAATAATTCTCATTAGATTATAAGTAGACTGTTAGGTTAGGGTCGGGTTTAGGGTTAATGTAAGTTGTCTTGTATTTGCAAAGTTTCTTATAGTCAGTTAAATTTCTGTTGAAGGAGCAGTATCCACAGATATTAAGCAGTTTACTAATAAACAGTTTACTTATACTCAAATGGACCATCAAAATAAAGTGATACTAATTTATTTTTAAATCTAATATTTATAATAATTTAAGCCTTTCAGCTTTTGTCGAGTAAGCTATTTTTTTAAGCAAAGTACACTAAAGTTGGATCTTTGCTTGATGTGAAATTTCTGATGCTAAACCAAAGCCTGTATAGAAAAGAAAACAAACAGGAGAGTAAAGGGAGAAAGAGGATATACGCAAGGAAGGGATTAAACAAACGGGATTGGTTTAAAACGGGCACGATTAGACAGGGAGACACAGCAGAGGATTAGTCTGTGTTTGTCTGCGTTTCTGCATGCGTCTTCCTCTTGTTTCTTTCACGACTTTTATACAGGACTGTAGCGCGGCAGGATGACCCAACAACAGGAGAAGCTGGAGTGTCTGATGAAGAGTATGGAGGTGCTGCTGAGAGAGGTGGAGCAGCTACGTGGACACTGTGGCCATTACAACCTGGAGCTCAGTCGCCACATCACCGAGCTCCGCCTGGAGAACCGGATACTGACCGACAAATACAACGCTCTGGACAAGGAGCTGCAGGAAGCCTGGGAGACCATTGAGGACCTCCAAGACACCAAATATGCTCTGGATGCCAAAGAAAGACAGGCTGAGAAGCTGAGCCGAAAGCTGTGATTAACTGTAGACATGCAGCGACCAAAGGTTTTTAGGGTTTAGCGCCTCAATGCAGCTTGTTGATTCAAGCGTATTCATTTTCATCCTTATATTTAAGAAGCAGACACTCTCCAGCCACTTTATCAAGTACTGTTAACTGGAGATCTCTAATAAGTCAATCGCATGGCAGACAGTCAATGCATTCAAACATGTAGATGAAGTCAAGATGATCTGCTGAAGTTTAAATTGAGTGAAGAAAGGTGATTTAAGTGACAACGATCACTGGTGTTTATAAAAATACTCCAAAAAGGAGAAGATATTAAGTGAGTGGCACTTCTTTGGGTGGAAGTGGCTTGACGATGCCAGATACCAGAAAAGAATGGCAAAACTGGTTCATGCTAATGAAAACAATGACAATGTTAACTCAAATAATGACTTGTTACAGCCAAAAAGGAAAAGATATCCAGTGAGTGGCAGTTCTTTGGGTAAAAGGGGTTTGTCAATGTCAGATATCAGAGGAGAATGGCAAAGCTGGTTCACGCTGATAAAAACAACAAGAATATTAAATCAAATAATGACTTGTTACAGCGGATAAGAGCATTTATGAACACAAGCTTGGCGAAACCTGAAGCAGACAAGCTACAACAGAAGATAAGCACACTGTTGACTCTCTTTGTGAAAGGACACAATTCACAAAAGCTCACCAAATGTTGACAATAGAAGTCTAGAAAAAATTGTCTGGTCTGGAATGTTTTCAATTTTGCTTCAACATTGGATGGAGGTCAGAATTTGGTGTAAACAACAAAAAAGCATGGTTCTATCCTGTCTTGCATCTTTTCAGGCTGTTCAGGTGCTGGTATTAAATAAGAAGAATATTTTCTTGACCCACTTTTGGCCTCTTAGTACCACTTGAGCATTGTTTAAATTTTATAGTCTACCTGAGTGCTGTGACCAGCCATGTCCATCTCATTGTATTGGATAATGTCA